ACCGAGACTTAACAAACAATATATAAAAAAGCGAAAAGAATTTTGCCAAAGTGTCAAAGAATGGTCAAAAGAAAATGGAGGAAAGTAATGTTCAGTGATGAGATGAATATCGAGGTTGATAACCAAAAAAACCGAATTAAGATTCGCAGGCAGCCTTCCGAAAAATATAATCTTGATTGTATCGTTCAAAGAACAAAACAAGGTAGCGGGTCATTCGGAATAGGGTGCTGCATGACATATTATAGTCTTGGTATGTTTAAATTATTTGATGGTCGACTCAACTCTATTTATTACGTTGATATTTTAAATAATAACTTGTTACTATCAATTGATGCACTTGAGCAAAGCGTTCCGTTCATTTTTCAGCAAGATAATGCACCATGCCACCGGGCTAAAATTGTCTCTGAATGGTTGGAAAACAAAAATACTGAGCGTCTAACTTGGCCACCAAATAATCTAGATCTAAATTACATTGAAAATCTTCGGAGTTGGCTTGATAAACAGATCGCCAAGAAAGCACCAAGGAGCCTTGAGTTGCGGAATATTTTACAAACAATACTTAGAAATATTCCCAATCATATTTTAGAGAATTTAATAGACTCAACGCCAAATCGCATAAATGAGTGCTTAAATATATATTATATATATATATATATATATATATATATATATATATATATATATATATATATATATATATATATATATATATATATATATATATATATATATATATATATATATATAAATATATATATATATATATATATCTATATATTAAAACAAAACTCATCAAACTAAAATACTTAGTCTATTTAATTTACAAATTAAAAAACTGTTACATTCTTTGTTCTAAAATTTGTACTTTGTTTTGTATTTTTTTAATGTTTCAAAAGATAAACATTTATCATAAAAAATACATAATTATATAAGTAAAAAAAAAACAGTTTATTAATAATTATTATAAAAATTCATTAGAAGTGTTCTGTTACTTCATTTTATATATATATATATATATATATATATATATATATATATATATATATATATATATATATATATATATATATATATATATATATATATATATATATATATACATATATATATATATATATATATACATATATGTATATATATGTATATATTTATGTATATATATATATATGTATACATATATATATATATATATATATATATATATATATATATATATATATATATATATATATATATATATATATATATATATATATATATATATATATATATATATATATATATATATATATTATATATAAAACCATTTTAGATCAAACTTAATTGTAACGGCTTTCTAAAATATGTCTTTTTTTTTTTTGAACAAAATTTTGTTTATCTTTTCAAATGTATTAACTTCAATTATTTTTCTATTAAAATTTGGTAAAGAGACTTTCGTTGTTGTAGAATTTCATCGTTTATAAAAAAAAAACAGCTTTTTGTTTTTAATAAAGTTTATTATAAAAAATGCACACATAAATAATTTGTATATTATAAATTTAAAAAATGTATGCAACTGTCAGTTGTACTTTAAAAAAAAACATTATAAGTAAATTGTTACTTTATTTAAAAGTGTTTTGCTAATATAATAATTGTTAAAAGTTTTGATATAATTTAAGTCAAGGTATAATTCAGAACATTTTTCTTTCAGCGCGTTTTTACAATGTTTTTTGAAATAGCTGTTGTCAAATCTTCAAAACAAAATGTATTTTGCCTGGTCATTTCAAGACATACGATTGCACGTCTTCCTGTGAAAGACTCATGATGTTTTCTACTTCTTACATTGGTGTTTCCGTATTCTATATCTCCTCTTAAATTTAAAATTATTTTAACTGCAAATTATTAGGTGACAAAATCTGAACCTAGATTCACTAGTAGTCATGAGATTAAAGATTCACTAGAAGTCATGAGAGCTTAGTTTTTGAGATGATATACCAAATTTTGTGACCTGAGAATAGCAGACTTAGGTATTAGACAAAACCTTGCTTGATAAAAAAACTTTTTTTAATCTAGCATGTATGAGATAGATTTAAAAATACTCAGAATGAAGAATACAAGCAGAAAACCTTTATAATTATAATTAAAATTACATTGAGTTTAAGAGCAATTTAAACAGTTTAATTTAATCTGTGTGCTTAGAAAATGAATACCCAAGGACATTTTTTAAAGATACTAATAATATCAGGTTATCTATACCAAATCAAGTTTACTTCAAACTCTATAACAAAAATAACAGTGAAAATTCAAAAGTCAGTAGCTGAAAATAAGGAAGTTATAAGAGGTTCAATGATAAAGGGACTCTGATGAAGAAGAATGAGGTAATAATTTGAGAGAGATCAAATCGTAATCAGAAGCACCTAAGGGTAAATATGAAGAAACTGAGCACTGACTAGGATCAAAAACAAGACATAAGTCAAGTGGAGAGGTTAAATGATTCAGATAGTCTCACAAAGAACAAGTAGGTATGTTAAACTTTGCAAGAGATAAGACTCAACAGAAGTAAAGTTACTTTGAAAACCATGAACATTAGTAAATGCTACATTTAGAGAACTTGGCAATGACAAGGGTTCTTTATATTTTATAAATTTTGGTACTATAGTCATTTTTAAATTTGTTAAAGAACTTGACTCAAAGCACAGATAGTACTCATTGCACTATTTAATAGTCCTAGCTATTGCCTCATTACTATTAATAAATCCTGAGCCATAATAAAGGGCTCTAAATGTATCCTCAAGAATGCACACCAAAAGCACAATCACGGATACCAACCATGCACAACATTAACTAATATGTCATTGTTAGTACTCTGATAATTTGCAGCTGATGACGATGGAATCAGCCTCTCTGAGAGAGACCACTGAGTTCAAGAAACCTGACTACCAGCTGGCCTCAAAACCATAAAACTGAGTTTTAGAGCTGTACCCTCATTAAGAGATAATAAAATGAGTTGCCTAGTCATGAAAACAGAGACACAAGCAATACCCATGCAATGAGTTAAGAAAGTCCCACATATAACATCCTAAACTGAAAACAATGTATTATAAATACATCTCCACCAGCCTAATAGATTAAAAAGCAGTGCAAAGAAACCTTGCTAATTAATACATAAAACTTTTAATAAAACAAAAACATTAAATAAAAAAAAACAAAATAAAATAAAATTCACACTTAGTTCCCTTACCTCCTTGTAACATTAAAATCAAATGCCCTGCACTTAAGTAAAAAAAAAAATATTTTTCAATAATTTTTTCCACACTATAAAGTAGTTCTTAAAAAAATATTTTTGACTGTCAAAACATATATAACCTTTACTATACTATTTCCTAACCAAATTACAGCAGTTTTACATTTTTCTCTATACTACTTTTGAATTCATTAGCTAACTTTCTCTTTAATTCATTTTTCATTGGTTTCATTGACAAAATCAAATTAGTGTTGTTTGTGCTTCCAAAAAGTACATAAATGAAAATAATTTCTGAAACTCTACTAAATTTTTGTTCTAAATTGAATTTGCAACATGTTTGAGGTTTTATGTGATTGGTTGAGATGTTATTTATTTCAGGAATTTCAATGCTTTGTGTTTTGAATTGAAGCCTTCTCCTAAGTAAAAAATTTTAATTTATTAAGCTTAACAAAGAAAGAATTGATTAGTCTATTTCTTCATGACAAAGCCGAGCAGCAAAACTTTTTCCTTTTTTTCTTGAAACTAATAAAAGATGTCATATAATGGTTTGGATATAGTTTATAACAAATGTAAAAACTTTTTTTCAAAAACAAACTAATTTTATGCTAAAACAGACTTTTTACAAAATATTCAATTGCTGTAAACAGAGTTCAAAGTTCGAAAATCTCTGTTTTTTTGAATGTAGTTGAAATCTGTAATTGAAAATCTCTGTTTACAGCAATTGAATATTAGATATTTTGTAAAAAATCTGTTTTAGCATAAAATTAGTTTGTTTTTGAAAAAAAAGTTTTTACATTTGTTATAAACTATATCCAAACCATTATATGACATCTTTTATTAGTTTCAAGAAAAAAAGGAAAAAGTTTTGCTGCTCGGCTTTGTCATGAAGAAATAGACTAATCAATTCTTTCTTTGTTAAGCTTAATAAATTAAAAATTTTTTTACTTAGGAGAAGGCTTCAATTCAAAACACAAAGCATTGAAAATCCTGAAATAAACAACATCTCAACCAATCACATAAAACCTCAAACATGTTGCAAATTCAATTTAGAACAAAACTTTAGTAGAGTTTCAGAAATTATTTTCATTTATGTACTTTTTGGTTTTTCTTGGTATTCATTTATATTTTTGTTTTGATCAAAAAAATTTAGCCCAAACAATTTTTTTTTATTATCCTCTTTAATATGAATACAACATGTCTTAGAAGTTTAGGATCCCTTGAAGAATTGCGGAAAAATGTAAACAGACATTCCGTGTAAGAAGTAATCGCCTTATCCTAATTAGCTAAAAGTACGAATACATTTGTACAAAAAATAAAACTATACCTATGATAAAAAAAGTTATACATAAATGTTTAGGCATGCATTACATAAAATATTCATAGAGATAATACATACTTGCTACATTAAAATTATATAAAGATATTTTACAAACATAAAGCAATTTACATTATGGCTTTCTTCTGTAAATAAAAAAGCAAATAAAATATTAAAAATTTTTTGATGTAGACTTAAAATTGTTTTTTTTTTTTGCTTTGCCTTATCCAAATTTGTTGCTAAAAATAACAACCACTCTAAAGAAACAAAAATAAAAATAGCACACAGACTATTTAAATTATCTATTTTTTATTATTTTTTTTAAATTTATCTTAATTTCTTGTTTTGTTACTTTTACTTTCTTTGTTTTTGAAACATTTTTTGATAAAAGATTTGATAAACAAATTTTTAAATTCCCCTGTAAATACTCAGAGTTTAATTAGTGATAAACAAAAAAAGTACCTATATCTTTGCATTGCTTGTCTTTAACAGCATTGTCATGCTCCCAACTTCTTGAAGCAGAACTTGAATAAACAGTTGAAGGAGTTGCATGTGTTAGACGTGTTGTAGTAACTACACCTGTTGATAACCCATCTAACTCTGCATACTGTGCCAGAGACAAAACTTCATTACCAATAGATGATTTACAGTCTTTATATATGACATTTTCATTCACATTAATAAGTCCTTGAAAATTCATTAAATTTAAAATAAACAAATTAAATAAAAAACTTTTAAATAGAAAGTAAAAAAAAAATTACCTAATTTTTTTGGCATTTTAATGCTGTATGATGCTAAAACAACTTAAAGTAATTTTTTTGTACCTTAATTAATATTGTAGACTTTAGGTAAGAGTATTAATAACTATAACACAGTATATAAATTTCTTACATAAAGTGAGGAAAACTGCTAATATTTCATGTATAATTTTAATGAGTAAAAAGTAAAAAAAAAAAATATTTGATAAATAATTATTAAAGAAACCTAAAAATTTCTGCAACTAATTAATTCAATGTTGTATATATGAGTATATACAAGAGACAATTTAACTAATCGCAAAATGTGATAGGTCAAAGTCATTAAGGATTGGGTTAACATCTATTGCATACACAAAATACTTAAACATTTGTAAGTTATGAGAGCCTTCATGAACTTTTTGTTGTTATAAATTTGTTTTTTCTGCCTAAAATTTTTGTGATTAAGTAATTTAAATTATATGATTAAGTTAATTTGCAGCTTGGTATATATCCGCTAAACCACTAAATAAAACTATTGGTATATATCCGCTAAACCACTAAATAAAACTATTGGTATATATCCGCTAAACCACTATTTAGTGGTTAAAAAATTATAAAATTAATTATAAAACATAAAAACAGTTTAGTTTTATTTAAAACTAAACTGTTTTTATGTTTTTTTCAGAAAAAAAAAAGTTATTAAAATTTTTTTTAAAAATTTCAATTTCTTTGGTACAAAGTTTCTTAATACAATTTCTCGTTTAGAAAAAGATTTCCAAATTCTGAAAAGATATTTCTTTTGAGGCTTATTTTGATTAAGTATTAGAGAGTTGCAAATAAAAGAATACTTAAATAAAAATAAAATACAAAATAAATAAAAAATATTAGGAAAGCCAATAGAAGAATACTTGCATAAATCTAAATTTTTTTTTTAGTAAGCTAAAGATAAAATTATTATATACAGTTAAAAAGATAAAAAATGAATAAAAAATATAAAATTATGAAACACAACTTTCCAGGAATTTTGGATGAAGCATCCACTTTAACAGCAAATATTAATGTGTTATGTAATAATAAGAGGTATAAGTATAATTATTTTAGGCCAATATTTTTCAATAAAATAGAATTGATAATAAATTTTTTGAGACTTATTCCTGAGAAAGCTATTTTTGAATTCCTTGAGCAAAACTATAGGATTCCAAATTTGTAATGTAAATGACATAAAAATAAAAAAATTAAAAGTTGTAAAAACAACATGTTATGGATGATTTCAGATGGAATGACCCCTTAGCTACCATAATATTTTCTAATCCCAGCTCTAATCTAAAGATATCATGTCATATATAATATTATTATATATCTTAATTTTGAAAATCATTATATGTATCTTAAGTACCTGCTCAAATTATTAAACTCAAGAATAAAACTTTCAGATTTTACTAGATTTTTGGATTTTCTTTGATAGGCAGAAGTTATTGCTTCTTACTTTTTGTTTATGTGTAATTTAACTTTTTATCATTCATTTTTTGTTTTAGATTAGAAAAATTTTCTCTCCATACACTTAAACAAATTATATTTTCTTGTTACAAGTTTTCAAAAAATGTTTTTGAATAAACTTTTTGAATAAACCCCAAATAAATTTACTTTTGAAAAATTATGAAACAACAATATTGACTACTTTATTCAGATTGTATTCAGTGATGCATCCTTTGAGATTTTGGAAGACAAAGCAACATTTGTGTGTCATGGACGAGGAGAACAACACAAACCAGAATACATAGTAAACACTGTAAAGCACCCAGCATCTATAATGGTTTGGTCATGCATATCGAGCAGGGGTACCTGTCACCTTTACATTGTACAAGGGAAAATAAAACAAGATCAGTACAAGACTGTCCTACTTTGCTGGTTCCACAGATATAAGAGTGGTTTCCAAATGGAAATCACTAAACGACTGATTGAAGTATGGTGCTGAGATTCAGATGTTAAAACATTAACTTCTAAGTGCATAAATAGTATGCCAAGGCATATCAAAGCTCTTTTAAAGTCGAAAGGACTCACCATGAAGTACTAAGTTTTAAACATGCTTTGTATATGTCAATATATAGATTATGTAACAAAAAAATGTCAAAATATTTCCTAATCAACCCCCCTCCTCCTCTGTTAAGATTAAAATATATTAAATGGTAGGGATCGCCCATAAATTATGTAACGCAAAAAAAATTTTAAGAACAGAAGTAGGAGACACGGCAAATTAAGCTCCGATTTCCAAACATATATTAGGAACTACATATATTTATATTTTAAAATAACCAGTGTATATTAATTAATTACAATTAAAAATAACATAATTGTTTTTTTTAATCTTAATATATCATTACCGCTTTAATTTCAAGAGTATTTTTTTGAATATATATTTCATTTTAAATGTAATATGGTAATATAGCGATTTATGTTCAATGAAAATCTCAGTGGAGGAGAGTCAATTATCTTCTACTTTTAATTATTATTTAAATTTTGTTTGACGTCCTGTATAGAGGCACCCTTACATCATCATGTAATAAATTATATCATCAAAATAAATATTTCAAAAATAGATAAGGCTTTAAAAAAAGTAAACACGAGCTCTTAAATTTTATATTTCACATTATCGCGAGTTCAATTTTACAATTTATATTATTTTTTTATATATAAATCATATAGCCAAATATTATAATTAAATTATAATTATAATTACCAAAAATTATAATTACAGTCTCAGCAAAAACAACAACAAATGTTTTAATACAGAAGAATATTGATTGCAAGCGGCTTGCACGCATGGCAACGAAGAAAACCAACAGTTATTTTTTCATTTATAGCTATAAAATGTTAAGACTATGTTTATTAAAAATGTTACATTTTAAATTCAAGCAAGCAGTGAATCTTGTTTTCTGCTATTTTAATTTTTAGAACCAGTTAGTTTTAATAAAAAAAACATACTTGTTATCAAACCTATTTAATTTACGTTTTAATTTACGTATTTCCTTTTTAAATACAAGCAAACAGTAAAGTAAGAAATCTATTTTCCTAGTTCAATAACTTTCTAATACCTTTCTAGTTCAATAACTTTCTAATATAATAAATTTCTAAAAAGAGATCAAAACTTCTCTCTTGCAGGATCTTAATACAATATAAAATAAGTCTTAATATAATATTAAATCAAAAAAACCCATTCAGTTTAATAAATATTGACGCGTAAAATATTTCCTTCTTCTATTTTTTAAATATATTTCGCGTTGTGTAAATTTATGGACGACCCCTTATCATAATTGATCAAAATTTTGAAACTATCTGACATAAACAGTTTCTTAATATTTTTGTTGACGAAGTACATGTACTACTTGAAGTAAAGTTTGTAGTAAGACTGAAAAGTTATTTAACATAACTTTTAAAGAAAAGCATGTGCGTGTGTTAAATCAAACAAATTTATTATTATTTTAGATTTTTTAGATTAGCGCATTATTTCTTGCTAACTTTTTTATACATTTGCTGATGTTGAAATGTATTGCAAAAAAATTTTTAAAAATTATGAAATTAATTTTACTGCAAGTTGCCGATTAAATCCTTAAATTCGCTTGGAAAATCCTAATTCTAAAAAGAATTTTAATCGAAGTGACATTTTCAAAGTTTTGCAATAACTGGTCTGCCCCTTCTTTTTTCTTTCTTTTTAATGCTATTTTTGAATAAAGTGAAATCTTTCTCTTTATCTCCTATTCACACTATTATCTCCTCATCACACAGAATGGCATAGTTCCAGTACCACTGATCCTCTAAATACCAAGATTTTTTTAATTCTTATTTTCTTATTAAAATAGCGAACTTTGACTCTTCAAATAACAAAAACTTAATATATCATTGAGAGTTCACAACTTACACTCTGACAATCAATAAAGATAAATGACAGGTTTTATTGTACATTTACTAAAAGAAATTAGACAAGGGCTCAAATTTGCCATGCCTTGAAAATCAACATGACAGGTTTTATCAAAAACTTTTCCTGCAGACCTTTTCTATAAGCTCCATTTATATGTCTTTAGGAACGCTTTAAAAATGGTTGGAAATGTGGTTAAAAGGGGATGATTGAAAATTTAAAACATTCCTCTTACCCACAATATTACAAGACTCGACTTCTTTTTCAATAACTTCTGGTACATTACAGGGTCTAGAATCTAGTCAAAAACTAGTCAATATAATAGTTCATCTATTTACCATAGATAGAGCGTTTAATGATAATAACCCTTTCTCATTAGGAAAAAAAACATTGTAAATGAAGTTAGACCTGCTCTAGTAGACAAACTAGAGCCCTGCTCTATCGTTGTAAAGTTTCATTTCTTTCCTTTTTTACAAACGCTACTACAGAGCTTAAAATAAAGTCTACCTTAATGTTTTGCGCTTAAGAAATTGAAAGTTTGTCAATAAGCATGATTATGTGCAATTAACAAAATGTCCCCAAGAGCAATCTTTAGCAATACATATTGACATCACAAATAGTTGTTGTTTTTTAATATAACATTCTGATTCAAAGAAAACAAACTACGATAACAAAAAGAAAATCTGATCATAATTTTTTTTTTCACATCATTTTAATTTTACATTCCTTAACACACAATTAGTATTGCCTTCCTTATTATCAAGGTCAAATTATAAAACTAATGTGCAAGTCAAATGGTTTATATACCATTAAATGTTTAATTTATCTTAAAGACTTTTTAGATTTGAAAAGTTAAAATTTCACCTGCATAAAAAGTAAAAACTAATTTCTAAACATACATAGGGTAAATGATAGGAAATCAGGTATAGTAAAAGAAGTTCAATGTATCTTACCAAATCTGGTCTTTACTCCTGCATTAATGCAGTTGCTGTTCCAGCAGAATCAGGAACTTGATAATCAACATTGTATGTTTTAGACAGAGCAACATTGTCAAACTCTTCCCAACTTAAAACATTTTCTTCTCCTGTAAATATAAATTGCTGTAGTAACTAATATATATTACACAAAGACATTAATTTTCGGAAAATGTAGTGCTAACATTAATGTTAAGCATACAAGAGTACCAATTTTAATATAATATTATAACTTTACTTTTCTACCTTTTTGTAAAGTTTAAAATTTATTACCTGAAAAGCTCATACCTGTTTGTTTTTTAATTTGCCCATCAAGTATACGAGCAGCTGTGACTGTTGAGGGACCCATACCATCACCAATAAACAGAATAACATTTTTCGCCTTTTTATTTATCTCTTTCACTTTTAATTTTTTTTTTATTGTACTGACACCATCTTTAAACCATTGATTTTCATTTTGTTTCTGAATAATTTTAGCTGGAATTTCATTATCAGCATCTTTAGCCAATGAATATAATTTCTCGTTAAAATTACCTGTATTACAAATATGAATAATAAATATACTATTAAATTGTATGCATAACTTACAAGCATGAGCTCGTAAATTATCCATACAAAAAATTGAGTGTAAGTTTACATTTCTATTTAAAATTATGAAGTCTATATTACTATATTACTATTAACTAATATTTGTAATATTAAAACAATGGATTTTAATTATAATATAATGTATGTATATATTATTAATTCATAAAAAGCTATGGGAAAATATAATAGCTTAGCAATGTTGGAATTTTATTTCATCCAACTTTCATTATAATTTTCAATTAGTTTTTTTTTTGAAGTTTCTAGGCATAAACCGTTATGCCTAGAAACTTCAAAAAAAAAACTATTTTGATTTTTTTTTTAGTTTATTTTTATTTGCTTAAGTAAAAAAATACATTTTACAGGCAAACAACACACTGTTGTAAAAAAAAAGAAAAAAAACAGTTATATATATATATATATATATATATATATATATATATATATATATATATATATATATATATATATATATATATATATATATATATATATATATATATATATATATATATATATATATATATATATATATGTATATATATATATATATATATATATATTTATATATAAATATATAGATAGATATATAGATAGATAATAGTGTTGTAATCTGATTTTGCAACTTATATTCCAGTGAATACTAATAGAAGTACTATCAACCATAGGTTTTCATAGAGTCATGACTAAAACTGTTTTTTTTTGTTTTTTCACAACACTGTGTTGTTAACTAATAAAAACGTCTAAATTACATATTAAAACAATAAATATTTTTTTGATGTCTAAAACACATCTTGTGTCCACTAAATATCAAGTAATTTTAATTCTAAAAAGATAAAAAGCTTTTAATTGCATCTATTAAAAACTAGATACTATTTCAAACAGTTTAAGCTAAATACATTTTGGTGACAATTACCAGTCAAAATAACAATATAATTAAATTGATGCAAAAAATATGCAGAGTTTGAAAAATATGTGTAAAAGATGCTTTTAATACTGGTTTGTTCAGAAAGGTTAAATTATAAACTGCTATTTTACATTATTGATTTAAAGGAGTTTATAATTAGGCTAAGAGAGGAAAATTTTACGCATCTGTAAATAAAAACATAAATAATTGACGGACCGTTATAATCTTGATTTTTTTCTAGACATCTGTCTAAATTTTTATAACTACTTTATAACTTCTTATAGTTTAATTGAATGTTTCCTATTTTTCATGTGAAGATGACGAGTTTGTGTTGCATGTTGATAAACAAATTTATTCTGTTTATCACTATTTTAGAATATTGATATAAAGCAGTTTTATTGATTTTTACTATGAAATGGAATAAGGTTATTATCTACTTATTTTATCTAAACAATCATTTGCAATTTTATAAATTTTTTCATCATATCGAAGACATATCATGGTATCAAAAATGCATCTAATTGTGTTTTTTTAAGATCCAGTTGCTGTATTTTATGTGTTATGAAGTGAGATTTTAGATTCGAGCACATAGTCAGCGAGCACTTGTCTGATATGCATTGTGGAGCTTCCAAATGAAGGTTAACAATTTTAAAAAGTTTATAACAACAAGGTGTCCACTCAAAATTTAAAAAAGTTTTAACACTTATTACTTCATTTAGCTATGTTTAACCAGGATTTTGGTCCTGAAACCTATACCATTTTTCAGCATCAGTATTAAAAAAGCACTTGAATTTCGGCTATAATTTTTGTCTTGAAGAGAATCACTTATGTCTTGAAGACAATCACTGTACTTATAAACATAAAAGTATGCAATCTAAAACTAAATACTGAATACTAAATAAATTTTTGTACCACAACTTAATCGAAAAAAACTGTAATGAAATGAAAAGGCATTAAAATTACCCCTATAACATTATACCAGTTTCGTTACGCCGCAATCGGTTACAATTGCTGAGTTTTTTCAAAAACATACAAAATCAGTTGATTTTGTATGTTTTTGAAAAAACTCAGGAGCCGGTAGCCACTAGATTTTTGCGGCTTCACGGCTTCGACTCGGCTCCACAACCCTGATTTAAAGAATAAAATAGTAAATTTAATAAAATATAGAATATAGAATATAGGAGAATAACATAGTAAATTTAATATTTAATTCTTTGAATAGTAAAGTTCCAGTAAGAAAAGAAGATCTTCTGCATTTCAAAAAATAAATTAAAAGCGCTTCATTTATATATATATATATATATATATATATATATATATATATATATATATATATATATATATATATATATATATATATATATATATATATAAATGCAAAAAGTTACAAAATATAATAGATTCACACATTACAATTCGTAACAAATTTTTTACGTCCCGTAAAGTTAAAATGATACGTTAAAAATAACAAATATTTGATACGTAACGATACGTAAAAATGTTGCGTCTTGATACGTAAAGTACGTACGTTTCGTTACGTAAATATGTTACGTAACAGTTTTGTTACATTATGTCTCGTTACGTAAAAATGTTACGTAGCGTTACGTATGTTTAACGGACATTTTGCACGTATTTGTTACGTAACGAAACTTAAAAATGTTATAGAGGTTATAAATACTTTATAATAAACCATTGAGGATTATTTATTCAGAAAAAAAGATAACAAAAGCAAGGACTCAAGTAACACATTTTTTTTTAATTAAAAAAATTACTGAAATAAAACTTAATAAAACTCTAAAGAATCAGCCATAACAATGACATTTAACTTAGAAACTGCACAAAAAATCAAAAGGTAAAAAATAGTAATAAACATTTTATAACTAAAAAAATATCCAAAACTTCCAAATGAGTAAAGTTTTTAAGTTTCTAGTTGTTGTTCTTCACTTTGTCAATTAATGCTTATTATTTGCAATTTTCTGCTTTTTCATTCTAAAGTTTCTTTTTTTTCTCATATTGATAATGCGTTTTTGATCCTTAAAATATGAGAACATTGCGGTTTTTAAACCACACTCAAGGTTAAAGTGACTTATTACTCAAAGCTAAATACTTATTACAGAACATCAGCAAATTCGCTTACTAAAGTACAACGCAGCTGAGTTTACCTTTAACTTAAATTAGGCTTTGTAAATAAAAACGTTTTTTGGCTATATAAATATTAGTTAGTTAGGTTAAAAAATTTTTTTTGCCAATATCAAAAGTACAAAGCTTTGCTAATGTCTCAAGAAATTATCACATGATACTATCTAATGAATCATAAAACTCAAGTAACTTTCACATACTTTTACACTTTTATATAAACGTTAGGCAAACCATGTTGGCTAAAATTATAGCGTGATTAAGACAAATACAAATAAAAGCTACAAATTGCTTGCCACACAAGGAACTTGGATGCAAATTTTTCTCGTCGAATATATTTAAATTGATCATTGACAAGTTTATCTTTGTTTTCATAGTAAAACTGTTGACCAGGAAGTTGTGAAAAATCTGCCTTGCAATACGTTTCGTCGTCTTCAATTATGCACATATTTTTATCCGCCATTATTTTAACCAACTTCTTTGCACGTCGAATTCCTTTAATTTCACAATTTAAGCTTTTCTTAGGTGTATTTTTTTTATAAAAAACTTTAATTCCAGGATTTTTAAGTACTTTTTTGATATAAGAACGAGAAGTCTTAAATTTTCTTACTAGATCTCGTTCTGACTGATTCGGATGAACATAAAATCGACTTTACCTTTTTGGATTAATGGAAAGTTTTTATTCTTCCACTTCAAAGTTTTCTTTCGAAGCTTTGAGCAGTCTTGAAATTGTTTATAATATCTATGACTGTAGATTTTGGGACATTTGCGCGTTTAGCAATCAAGTGATAGGAAGTCGATGGATTTTTGCAAAAAAAAATGCACAACTTTTTTACTCGCCTCAACTTGTTTCCAAAACATTTTGCAAATCATTAATTTGTAAACAAAAACTTTAAAATGCTTTAGTAAGCATTGTTTTTTCTTATAGTAATGTAAACTAAATAATGTGCACACTAAAAAATTATCATAAATAACAGGAATAAAATAATAAATGGATAGAAAAAAAATGAGATAAACAAAGAGAGTACTGAAGTTATGATACTTTCCTACCATCTTTATCAACCTTTCCACCAGAAGGTAAGACATTGTGTTGAATTATTACTTTCAATATCTGATTTCCACAAATCAAACTCTAAAAACAGAAAATAACACACACACACACACACAAAACAACTGTTATAGGACATTGTCAACAAGAGACTGCAAAATTATGATTGTTTAATTCCTTAAAATTAACTTGACACATAAGTTTAATTCATAATATCAACAGCAACTAGTCTGAATTATGTACTAAATTGAGTGCATGAAACATTAATGTACAATAAATGTTAATAATAGTACTTTAAAAGTGAGTTTGTGATAAAAGCAAAATACATTTTTCAATGTCTCTGACAAAATGATAATTAAATTAACAAACTGGAATATTAAGTAAACAAAAATTTAATGACCAAATAAATTTGTGTGCATGTTATAAATATAAAACTAACAATTTGCATTATAAACATAAAACTACCTTTAAAATTAGAAAATGATAATCTTTCTTTCTGAAAAGTATGAAAATGAACAGCAGATAAATGTTTTCTAAAGTCATTAATTCGTCTGCAGTGAAATCCACATTGAAGACAAAAAGAATTTCCCGATTTAATATGTAATTGAGCTTCTTTAACTGAATTGTGTTTATTTTTATATGTCGCTGCATGTTATTTTTTTTGGTAAAGGAAACGTTGCAAAATACACATTTTAAAGAGACAAAATTGTCTTTTTCAATATTAACAGTATTTTTTTTTACCTAATTTTGATTCTGAAACATTTGTGCATGTAACATCTTCATCAGAATCATGTACTTCAAAATTGCTAAATACTTCATTTTTTTGAACTCGGATTGAAGTAGGAACAACAAAATCCAATTTAATTCTTTACTAATGAACCATGTCATCAAAACTAACCTTAAATATTTTGAATAATTTGTAGGCTCTTGTAGAAAA